AGCTCCAGCTTTGATTCAGCGGAGGAGGGGGGGTGTCAAAACTCTACAGAGAGACCACTGCTTCCCCTCAGAGAGCAAAGGTCAGGGGGAGTGGATTCGAGGTTGTTCTGCAGTTCACAATGCTACCATGCCAACATGTTTCAGGTACTAGCAGCAGGATGTGTCTAGGGAGGGTGGTGACCCTTACTAGTGGGCAAATAATCAGGCATTGTCCACGAGGTGATTCGGGAAGGTACAAAGCTCAAGTAGTGAATAGAGATTTCACTTTCTGACTGTATAATGTGATTTACAAAACTGGCCGAGTAAAATTTTTTTTTCAGGAATGGTGAACCTAAATGCAGTGTGAGGGTTTCAGGATTGATCCAGAGATGCCTGCTCTTGTGGCATTGGTGAGACACCCTCATTGGGGTGATCCAGAGATGCCTGCTCTTATGGCATTGGTGAGAGACACCCTCATTGGGGTGATCCAGAGATGCCTGCTCTTATGGCATTGGTGAGACACCCTAATTGGGGTGATCCAGAGATGCCTGCTCTTATGGCATTGGTGAGACACCCTCATTGGGGTGATCCAGAGATGCCTGCTCTTATGGCATTGGTGAGACACCCTAATTGGGGTGATCCAGAGATGCCTGCTCTTATGGCATTGGGGAGGCACCCTCATTGGGGTGATCCAGAGATGTCTGCTCTTATGGCATTGGTGAGATACCCTCATTGGGGTGATCCATAGAGGCCTGCTCTTATGCCATTGGTGAGACACCCTCATTGGGGTGATCCAGAGATGCCTGTTCTTATGGCATTGGTGAGACACCCTCATTGGGGTGATCCAGAGATGCCTGCTCTTATGGCATTGGTGAGACACCCTCATTGGGGTGATCCAGAGATGTCTGCTCTTATGGTGCCGGGCAGGTGCCCTCATTGGGGTGATCCAGAGATGCCTGCTCTTATGGCATTGGGGAGGCACCCTCATTGGGGTGATCCAGAGATGTCTGCTCTTATGGCATTGGTGAGACACCCTCATGGGGGTGATCCAGAGATGCCTGTTCTTATGGTATTGGGGGGGGGACCTCATTGGGATGATCCAGAGAAGCTCAGTCTTATGGTGTTTGTGAGGCGCCCTCACTGGGGTGATTCAGAGAAGTCCGCTCTTATGGCATTGGTGAGGCGCCTTCACTGGAGTGATCCAGAGATTCCCACACTTATAGTGTTGGTGAAGCACCCTCATTGGGGTGATCCTGAGATGCCTGCTCTTTTGGCATTGGGGAGGCACCCTCATTAGTGTGATCTATAGATTCCTCTTCTTATGGCATTGGGGAGGTGCCCTCATTAGTGTGATCCAGAGATGTCTGCTCTTTTGGCATTGGTGAGACACCCTCATTGGGGTGATCCAGAGATGCCCACTCTTATGGCATTGGGGAGGCGCCCTCATTGGGGTGACCCAGAGATGCCTACTCTTTTGGTGTTGGTGAGGCACCCTCATTGGGGTGACCCAGAGATGCCCACTCTTATGGCATTGGTAAGGTGCCATCATTGGGGTGATCCAGAGATGCCCACTCTTATGGCATTGGTAAGGTGCCATCATTGGGGTGATCCAGAGATGCCCACTCTTATGGCATTGGTAAGGTGCCATCATTGGGGTGATCCAGTGGCTTCTTATTTTATTATAAAGCACAATCACCTCTTATAAAATAATAATCAGCGCACACTTTTAATATTTTACAATGTTTGGGAAAATAAAACGCCACACAGCCAATCTCTCTCAACACGAACATTTATTTTGTGTTTAGGAACTCCAACATTTTAGAAGAAACTCTAATTTATACCTTTGTCATAGAATAAGCCATCAATATAATACAATAAATTGCATTTGTACACATAAATACAAAATGTGAGGTAGCGCCTCAAGGATTAATAACTCTGGTGTGACTAATGTACATTAATATATGTTTTACTATATAGACAGATCTTTATATATGATGCATATTTTTTCTCTTTTTTTTTTTTTTTTTTTAAATACTATTCTCCTTCTAGAGTTAAAGAACAAAAAATATATATAAGGTCCTGAAATTTGGGTTACGTATCTATATTCATAGGTAGCGGTACCCGTATATAAATGTCCGTTCTTTATAATGACATTACACAAGTAATAAAGAGGCGACCTATCTGGAGGTCCGAGATGAAAGTGCCAGGAAGTTAAATAGGAGACACGAGATGGCATGGGGGGGACGGATACGACACGGACTAGATACACAGTGCAACAATGGGACACACCTATAAGGCAAATGGCTTACCTGACAATGCGATTTGTTTCATGGCTAAAAGGACGTGTTCAAAGAAACCCACCAGGCTGCTTACAGTCACCAAACACCTTCCATTACTCTGCCCTTTGGGGCTCATATTCTCTCCCTCTCTCCCTCCCTGCCTCTCTCTCCCTCCTCTCCCTTTCTCTCTCTCTCTCTCTCTCTCTCCCCCCCCTCTCCCTCCCTCTCCCTCCCTCTGCCTCTCTCCCCCCCCCCCTCCCCCCCTCTCTCTCCCCCTCCCTCCCCCCTCTCTCTCTCCTTCTCCCCCCCCTCTCTCTCTCCCTCCCTCCCCCCTCTCTCTCTCCTTCTCCCCCCCTCTCTCTCTCTCTTCCCTCTCTCTCTCCCTCTGTCTCTCTTCTTCTCTCTCTCTCTCCCCCCCCTCCCTCCCTCCCCCCATCTCCCTCTCCCTTTCTCCCTCTCCACCTCTCCCTCCTTTCATCTCTCTCCGTCCCGCTCTCTCTCCCCCCATCCCCCCCTCTCTCTCTCCTCTTTCTCCCTCCTCCTCCCTTCCCTCCCCCTCCCTCCCTCTCCCCCTCTCTCTCTCGCTCTCTCTCCCCCCTTCACCCCCCTCTCTCTCCTCTTTCCCCCTCTCTTCCCCACCCCCCCTCTCTCCCTCCCCCCCCCCCCCCCCCCCCTCCCTTCTCTTCTCTTCTCTCTCTCTCTCTCTCTCTCTTCCATTTCACATCTGCTAAATCCCTTCATCACTATTTATAAAGCACCAAAATGTGACCAAAAAGTGCAAATCCTGGCTAAAACCAAGATTAAAGTATACAGCTTTAAAGCTGAGTGGCATACTTGGGAAGACCTCATTTTATTGTAATGGCGCTCATGGGGAGGAGCCTAAGTGCAAGACTGAAGCCTGAAAACTGCGACTTTATTATTGCTGTTTCTCTCCCTTTCAGCTGCCTCTAGATATTTGTCTAGACTAGGGTGAAAACTAGGGTGAAAGGCAGGGCCAGGAAAAGGGGTGGGCAGGAGAGGCAGCTGCCCAGGGCGCAGCTGTAAGGAAGGACGCCCCCCTCACCACATGCAGGCTACAGATCAGTGGATAGCAACCAGGGGCCACAGTTTTGTGTCTGTGCTGACAGCTATTGCTATCACACCGTGCTCCAACATACCCGCTCTGTACCCCAATTGCCTACTGCTGACACAAATACACACCATACATGTACGACTGTCTTTTAGCCACAAGAAAGCAAGTGATTGGCCATGCAGGGACAGTGCACACTCCATGCCAACCATGGGCAGCTGGAGCAAGGGGGCAAAGAATTGGCACAAGGTGGTACACCCATTCTATGGAATGTATTATGGGGGGGTTGCAGTTCTGCATCCTTGCCCTGGGTACTGGATGCCCCTACCCCAGTACTGGTGAAGAGGGTGCAGGGCATGTAGGATGTGTAGGGGATATAAAGGGAAGGTATTGCAGGGAATGCAGGGTGAATGGGGTGCAGGGTATGTAGGAAGTCAGAAGATATATGCAGGGAATGCAGGGTAAAGGGGGTGCAGGTCTTCTAGGGGAGTGCAGGAGATAGAAAAGGAAAGGAATTGCAGGGAATGTAGGCTGAAGAGGGTGCAGGGTGAAGAAGGATAGTGGCTGAGGGAGGTCAGGGGATGTAAGGTGAAGGTCAGGGCATTATAAAAGGAAAGGGTGGCCAGGAATGTATGGAGAATGGGTTAAAGGTCATGTAGGATGTGTAGGAGGTTTACAAAAGGGGTTTCATGGAATTTAGGGTGAAGAGGGTGCAAGGATATAGGGAGGGCAGGGTATATAATTGGAAGTGGCATCAGGGAATGCTGGGCATGTAGCAAGTGCAGGAAATATAAAAAAGAAGGGGTTGCAGGGAAAGTAGGGTGAAGGGGTGCAGGGGATGATGATGGAAATGGAGGCAGGGTGTGTAGGGAAAAAGGTGTGGGGGTAGGGGTGCAGGAGATATAGGAAAATGGCATACAGGAGAATGAGAAGAAAGGGGATGCAGTAGATATAGACGACAGGAGGTACACAGAAGTAGAGGGAAGGGGGTGAAAGGGGTGTGGAAGTAAATGGGTTCAGGAGACGTATAGGGGTATGGATATGGAAGGGGATACAGGGGAAGTTGAAGGCAATAGGAGAAAGCAGATAAAAAGGTTTATGGGATGTAAGGGGAAGGGGGGCAGGGAATGTAGATAGAAATGGGTGCAAGAGATACAAGGGAAAGGGGTTACAGGGTATGTAGAGGGAGTGGAGTACAAGGGGTATAGAGAGAAACAGGGGTATGGGTCATAGAGTATGCAGGGGGAGTCAGGGGAAAGGGATTAAGAAGGTACATCAGCAAGAGAGTGCAGAGAGGATCCAAACACGTAGGGGGGAGTAGGGGGGTGGAGAACTTTTGAGGGGCTGGAGGATCTAAAGGGAAAAGGTGCAGATGATGTAGAGAGAAGGGGTGCAGGGGAATGTGGGAAAAAAGAAGGTGCAGCAGATATAGGGAGAAGGGGGTGCAGGAGATTTAAGGGAAAGGGGGATGTAGGGGTCTGCAGTAGATATAAGAAGGGAGTATGGAAGGGGTAGGGGCAGAGTTTGCAGAGTATATATGGGAGAGGGAATTGTAGAGGATGAAGGGGGAAGTGGCTGTAGCCTATCTGACCTAGGGGTGCAGTAAAAAAAAGTTTGGGGGGGGTGGTATAATATCAGAGATGTATAAACCCATATTCCCTGTTCACCCGGAACGCCTTACATCAACTATACATATCAGAGAGCCCCCTTACATCAACTACACACCATTCAGAGAGCCCCCTTACATCAACTACACCATTCAGAGAGCCCCCTTACATCAACTACACTATTCAGAGAGACCCCTTACATCAACTGCACCTATCAGAGAGCCCCCTTACATCAACTACACTATCAGAGAGACCCCTTACATCAACTGCACCTATCAGAGAGCCCCCTTACATCAACTACAACATTCAGAATATAATTGAAATAAATATATTTTTAAAAAAAATTGAATATATTCTTCAGATTTTTTTTAAGATATAAAAAAAGTCATTTTAACATATATTTTTACAAATATTTGTAAATGCATTCCAAAAATGTAGATTAGTTTTTTAAAGACATACACTATATTTGAAATGTATTTGTAAAAATATTTTCAAATATTCATATATTTTGTAATAAAAACGCATTTCAACATATATATATATATATATATACTGTATTTATTTATTTATTGAAATATATTTATATATTTTGAAATACATTGAATACGGCCAAAATTGTAGCACTTCAAATATATGCCAATATATTTGGGAAGAATATTTTTAAAATGTATTTCAAATATATTTTTCTTCCATGTGGGTATACCTATCAGAGAGCCCCCTTACATCAACTACACCTATCAGAGAGCCCCCTTACATCAACTACACCATTCAGAGAGCCCCCTTACATCAACGACACCTATCAGAGAGCCCCCCTTACATCAACGACACCTATCAGAGAGCCCCCCTTACATCAAACTACACCTATCAGAGAGCCCTTTACAACAACTACACCATTCAGAGAGTCCCCCTTACATCAACTACACCTATCAGAGATCCCCTTACATCAACTGTACCTATCAGAGAGCCCCCTTACATCAACTACACCATTCAGAGAGCCCCCTTACATCAACTATACCTATCAGAGAGCCCCCTTACATCAACTATACCTATCAGAGAGCCCCCTTACATCAACGACACCTATCAGAGAGCCCCTTACAACAACTACACCATTCAGAGAGCCCCTTACATCAACTACACCATTCAGAGAGCCCCCTTACATCAACTACACATATCAGAGAGCCCCCTTACATCAACTACACATTCAGAGAGACCCCCTTACATCAACTACACCATTCAGAGAGACCCCTTACATCAACTACACCATTCAGAGAGAGCCCCCTTACATCAACTACACATATCAGAGAGCCCCCTTACATCAACTACACCATTCAGAGAGACCCCTTACATCAACTACACCATTCAGAGAGACCCCTTACATCAACTACACCATTCAGAGAGCCCCCTTACATCAACTACACCTATCAGAGTCCCCTTACAACAACTACACCTATCAGAGAGTCCCCTTACATCAACTGTACCTATCAGAGAGCCCCCTTACATCAACTAAATATTCAGAGAGCCCCCTTACATCAACTGTACCTATCAAAGAGCCTCCTTACATCAACTATACCATTCAGAGAGCCCCCTGAACTACACCATTCAGAGAGCCCCCTTACATCAACTACACCTATCAGAGAGCCCCCTTACATCAACGACACCTATCAGAGAGCCCCCTTACATCAACTACACCTATCAGAGAGCCCCCTTACAACAACTATACCTATCAGAGAGCCCCCTTACAACAACTGCACCTATCAGAGAGCCCCTTACAACAACTACACCATTCAGAGAGCCCCCTTACATCGACACACCTATCAGAGAGCCCCCTTACATCAACGACACCTATCAGAGAGAGCCCCCTTACATCAACGACACCTATCAGAGAGCCCCCTTACATCAACGACACCATTCAGAGAGTCTCCTTACATCATCTGAGTTTCCCTTTTACATCAATTGCCCCATCAGAGGGTCTGATGTCTCCATCAGACTGGCTCATGGATCAGTGAAGGCATTCTTGAAGACCTGCGGGGGGGGGGGGGGGCAGCACAGCTAAAATCTAGAGGGGGTGCAGCCCACCCCAGTACCCCATTAGACCTAGGCCTGCAATGAGCGCTAATACCAGCTTCAGCTACAATACCAGCAATCATCCCGGGGCAGCCAAGACAAATACTGCACAGCCTGCTTGGGAAGCCGATTCAACTGTCTGCGTCTGTACAATGCAACACACAGCAGAGACTGGAAATAACGAGTGTTTGCTTAGTAATTGTGCGCAGGGACAGAGGATGACAAGATGGATGAATTTTGGAAGCAGCAAAGGGGGACGGGGGATGTGATTACTCAGACAAGCTACAGACTTGCAATCATATGCAACATTTAAACAGCCTAACACAAGAGATACAACGAGGATAATGCCGGTCATTATGTATAGCTCCGGTTTCCGTAACATTGGTGAACTGTTGGGAGGGCAGTAGAGCCAAAAAAATCTGCAATCCATGTAGCCAATCGGTTTTATCAACTTTGCTAATTCCCTCTACTATTCTCTAGAAATGTTACATTGTTTCTCTTTGTATTTCCTATGCTCCTTAGCTCTATCTAGTGGCCATATTGCAGCATTTTATCACTGCCCATAACAAAAGGAAAGCTTCGCTCTGAAGACAAACTAGCCTAAAGAACATTTGTTTTCACCCAAATTACACAGAGTGAATGTAAATGTAGATGGCTGAGTGAATGGCTATGGAATTTTTCATCAATAGACCCCTTTATGTTGGTTGAAGGGATGGACGCATGGACGCATGAGTCCGAGCAATTCCAGTGTCGGCCAATACAAGTGAAGGGATGGACGCATGGAAGCATCAGTCTGAGCGATTCCGATTCCAGTGTCGGCCAATACAAGTGAAGGGATGGACACATGGAAGTGTGAGTCCGAGCGATTCCAGTGTCGGCCAATACAAGTGAAGGATGGACGCATGGAAGAATGAGTCTGAGTGATTCCAGTGTCGGCCAATACAAGTGAAGGGATGAATGCATGGAAGCATCAGTTTGAGCAATTCCAGTGTCGGCCAATACAAGTGAAGGGATGGACGCATGGAAGAATGAGTCCGAGCGATTCCAGTGTCGGCCAATACAATTGAAGGGATGGACGCATGGAAGAATGAGTCTGAGCGATTCCAGTGTCGGCCAATACAAGTGAAGGGATGGACGCATGGAAGCGTAAGTCTGAGCGATTCCAGTGTTGGCCAATATAAGTGAAGGGATGGACGCATGGAAGCGTAAGTCTGAGTGATTCCAGTGTTGGCCAATACAAGTGAAGGGATGGACGCATGGAAGCGTAAGTCCGAGTGATTCCAGTGTCGGCCAATACAAGTGAAGGGATGGAAGCATGGAAGCATGAGTCTGAGCGATTCCAGTGTCGGCCAATACAATGAAAGGATGGACGCATGGAAGCATGTAAGTCCGAGCGATTCCAGTGTCGGCCAATACAAGTGAAGGGATGGACGCATGGAAGCGTAAGTCCGAGCGATTCCAGTGTCGGCCAATACAAGTGAAGGAATGGACACATGGAAGCGTGAGTCCGAGCGATTCCAGTGTCGGCCAATACAAGTGAAGGGATGGACGCATGGAAGAATGAGTCTGAGCGATTCCAGTGTCGGCCAATACAATTGAAGGGATGGACGCATGGAAGAATGAGTCTGAGCGATTCCAGTGTCGGCCAATACAAGTGAAGGGATGGACACATGGGAGAATGAGTCTGAGGGATGCCAGTGTCGTCCAATACAAGTGAAGGGATGGACACATGGGAGAATGAGTCTGAGCGATTCCAGTGTTGGCCAATACAAGTGAAGGGATGGACGCATGGAAGAATGAGTCTGAGCGATTCCAGTGTTGGCCAATACAAGTGAACGGATGGAAGCATGGTCTGAGTGATTCCAGTGTTGGCCAATACAAGTGCAGGGATGGATGCATGGAAGCATGAGTCTGAGCGATTCCAGTGTCAGCCAATACAAGTGAAGGGATGGACATTGCTCAACCGACCCTAGGAGTCCAGTCTTAAGGAATGGCCTCAGCCGCCATACTGGCCAAACCCTCTCACCCCACCCCACCAGGGCTTGGTCATAGACACTGGAACAGTTTGTGATCTATTACTTCAACTATTACATGAGTGCAGTGCACCGTTCAAACATGCATTTATGGCTACCAGCAGGTAAAACATTGTGCCAAACAAGTAGATTCGATCATTAAGGGGGGCAACCTTACCATTCCAGTTGTTGTGAAACTGCAGGTCCCATGAGGCATTTCAAGACTCTGACAGCCACAGGCATGACTCCTAGAGGGAGAGGAATGATGGGATTATAGTTTCACCAAAGATGGAGTGCTGAGGTTGCCTACCCCTGCAGGGTCTATCTTCTTTCGACAATTTGTGATCTGTTACTTCAGGTATTACATAAGTGCAGTGCACCATTCAAACACATGTCTAGGTCTACCTACAAAACAAAACAGATTCCATCCTTTTGATTTTTAGCTGATTCGATCATTGGGGTGGGCAACCTTACCATTCCAGTTGTTGTGGAACTACAGCTCCTATCTGTAGATATGTGTCTCGACACCAGGGGTAGGCAGCCTAATATTCAAAAGAAAGTTCTTCACAAGGTCAAAGACCACTCAAGAAGGAAGAAAAAAATGGGGTGATTGTCTCTTCCTTCTTGAGTGGTCTTTGACCTTGTGAAGAACGTTCTTTTGAATATTGTTGGAGCGCTGTTCTCTTACAATTGATGTGCTTTATACCAAATATGTGTGTGTAATAATTCTTTTACAAAAATGTTCTCTTGGATATACGTGTAGTGTCCAATTGCTGCATAAAGTCCCACTGGGGAGACAGTTATCCTGTAACAGTCAAAGGAAATGTAGCCAAAAAAGAAAAGGTCCACCTAATGCCAGGAAGGTTTCAGCTGAACGAGTCTGGCACTGGATAGAACCTCTTAGAGAAGAAAGGAGTAATTACCGGGATTTGGGCAGATTTTCCCAGGCTAAGCCTCTGAGCCACAGGATGAAGAGCCCAAAAAATGACAAAAACGGTATTCCCCGCTAGAGGCCCGCAATTGATTTGAGCTCAGCATTCCATAGGAAGAGCGACCTGAGCCAGATCAGTCACCGAGTGTTTATTTAGGCGGATGCTCTGCAGATATTGATGAGCTTGCATTCGCTCCTCTGAAATATTGCTGCTGGAGGTGCTGAGCCCAAAGAAAGGGGCCGATGCAGGAAAACTGGGACTTCACCGCATCACATTTAATTAGCAGGCGGCCACCCGGGGAGGACAACCCCCATGAAATCTATAGAAAAACCGCGCTCCTATCACCGTCCCTGGGGAGGCCTCATATGTGTCAGATGTAATATTAAATTCCCAGAACTTGGTCTCTACCGCTCTAGAAAACCGCCGACGGTGGAATTCTGCTTGTGCTCACGGGTTATATTTCAATATACAGGTGAAACTCGAAAAATGAGAATATGGTGCAAAAGTTCATTTATTTCAGTGCAGCAACTTAAAAGGTGAAACTAATATATGAGACTCATTACATGCAAAGCAAGATAGTTCAAGCCGTGATTTGTCATCATTGTGATGATTATGGCTTACAGCTCATGAAAACCCCAAATCCACAATCTCAGAAAATGAGAATATTGTGAAAAGGTGGAATATTCTCGGCTCAAAGTGTCCCACTCTAATCAGCTAATTCAGCCATAACACCTGCAAAGGGTTCCTGAGCCTTTAAATGGTCTCTCAGTCTGGTTCAGTAGGAATCACAATCATGGGAAAGACTGCTGACCTGACACCATCACTGACACCCTCCATAAGGAGGGAAAGCCTCAAAAGGTAATTGCAAAAGAAGTTGGATGTTCCCAAAGTGCTGTATCAAAGCACATTA